TGTAAATTTCCCCTAGCCAAAAGAATTACTAGATTGACTTTAAACAATCATCTGTGCACTGCATGAGATAAATTCCTGGGTAATGAAACAACAGTTCAACAACCTCCTTATTTATATTTTTTTAGTGATTATTCCCCGGATCGAGCGTACTCTTTCTTATATCATCACAGAACTGGATGAACGAGAACGAGAGGAATTCTACAGGTAAGTATCTAAAACAAGACTACACTGGTCTCTTTTTCTCAAATAGACCATTCCTCAGAAGGGACTTACGAGAACTATTCACCAAATCTGGCAGTGAACACTGTTAAACAGGACCTGTTCTTACTGCACATTGAGTTTCCAGAGCTGGGCACTTGGAGACCTGCAATTACTTGTCTGAAATTTACAAATGAATCCCTACCACTAGGTTGTACATAGCTGACATTACCATTCTTCCAGAGGGAATGACAGGGTACAGTACACCGAGGTGTTCTGCTTTAAGGACACCTTTGCCACAGAGGTCCGTGTCCTGGGCTACCTGAAGCAAAAATGTTAAACCTGAAATGAATTAAAGGAGAATTAACTTCATTAAAGACAAGCAGAGTAGTATAATGCAGTGCTTAAGGTCAAGAATATAATATATAGTTTGGATGAAGAAATGAGTTAATCTGCAGAGATGAAGTTTTTCAATGGCAGCAGCTAGTGATAAAAGCCTTTTGCCATTTGTTACACAATCTTCATGTTCAGAAGTTTCCTGGGGAATGTCTCCAAGCAGCTTTATCATATCCAAGTTGTGTGGCATCCTTGCTGCTAGCATGTTTTATGAAAACATACTTGTTTCACAGCAACACATGTTGCTTTTCACAGGTTAAAGAAGATCCAGGAAAAGAAAAAAGTATTGAAAGAAAAATCTGAGAAAGAACGGGAGCTGCGGAGAGCTGCTGGCGGAGAACGTGAACCAGCCAATCTCTTAGCAGAAGAGAAGGATGAAGACCTTCTCTTTGAGTAACCCAGCACAGTTGTTTTATATGGAGCAGGGGACCCAGAATACAGAACGTCCATTTGCGATATAATTCAGGACATGTTGCCTCAATGATACTTACGTGGCTTCTCAGTTGGTGTGTAAGTCTTGAGTTGAAAGGATTGTGGATTTCTCCTGGAAGATTAGAAATCTGGGAACTTGACTGCAGCATAAAAGGAGAGATGGGTCAGGTGCTTTACTATCAGCAACAGGCTTCTATTACGTGTTCAGCCTGTTTCTTCACTTAGTAGGGATGACTGTCCACAGCTGTGGCTCTGGATTTACCTAATCAGATTCCTCTTTAATTGCTCCCCATCCTAGTGCAAGCAGAGGAAAATGTTATTGAGGGAGGGAGATGCACGTAATGTTCTTTACTGCTGAACTATTAATGTTCAAGTTGCTCAAAGCAGGTCTTGACACAGCTGAAGTCAAATGTCAGTAAAGGCAACCCTAGTTTTCTAACCTGTTGATGAAATCCACAGTCTTCTGTGATTTATTTTTGTTGCACGATTGTTACCATTGGCCTAAAACATCTACAGTTTTAATTAGAGGTTCTGCCAACTTGTGTACCGTCTGTGCTAGAAACAAGTAAAAATTTTAAATGGTAAATGTCTGGTGTCTGGCTCCAGCTGCTAGAAGATGGTGGTCTCAAAAGCTTGTCATGTTGATTTCAAAATAAAACCTTTGCTTCATCCCCTGGCCCCAACTTGGAATCTGCACTTAACCTTTACTGCTTTAGTAACGAAGGAGAGGTGGCTCCCTCCTGACACAAACACACAAAAACTTGAGTTCTCAACTATCCAGCTACATGTTGCTCCAAATCTTCATTGCAACCAGCAGGTTGGCAAACAAAGCAGGGTTCAATGTACAGTAGTCCCTCCTTGCTGCGATTCTTCATGTCCTTTGCCGATTCGGGGAGTCTAGGAGAGTGGCTGATAAGCAGGCTGTCACTGAGTGCTGCTCAGTTTGAAGGGCTGTTTTCCTGAAGATGTTGGTTTGCAATTGGCAAACTGAACACATGCCATAGCAGTAATACTAGTACATTGTCTCTAGTACTACTAGTCTCTTCAAGGTAAGCATCTTGTTTTAAACATGATCGAGCACTTAACTAGAGATGCAGGGTAAATGCAAGGAAACAAATTTCTATTAACACCTCTAAAAAGTAATTTTATAATTGTATGAAGCACAAGGCCATTTCTTTTCTCTTTTGAAGCTGACAGCAGCACAGCTGAATAGTAAGTCGATACTCTGTTGCAAGATACAGGTCCAGCTTGAACGAGAGAAACCGTGTTACCTCTCCCACTGGATGCATGGTGTCAGAAGGAATAGAGAACATCCTCTAGGGCAGCAATGGGTCACAGCATCTTTCACCCATTCAGCAAAATGGCAGAAAGAAGACTCCCAAGATCCACTACAAGAAGTAAAATTGTACAGTGATTTATTTTAAATCTAAAAATATTTTACATTTTTACATTAGTGTGCAGTTCATGATGTCTCAAAATACAGAGTGCAGATACATGTATAAAAGTACAATGTGGGGCTAACCACAGGTCTCAGTAAAGTTACCTTAATTATTTAAGGCATTAAACCCCTCATCTTATATTTTAAAAAGTCGCATATAATTACATTCAAAAATTCTTTTATGCAATTCAGCTAACATTTATTTTTTAATTAAATCTGGACTGGTAAAAATGCAGATACCCTCATTTCAGTCTGATACAGCTCACTACAAACCCTTGATAAGGTTGAGGAGTTTCACCAGTGAAGTTTGCATAGTCTCTTTTATTCTCAAGGGAATTAACACACATTCTTCATTAAAGGCGGCAGAATAATTTCTTACAAAAGGTAGTTCCAGGTCCAAACTGGCAGCAGATGGATAGCCAGGTACATTTCTCAGTGCTGCTCAAGCCTT